GATTCTGGATCTGCTGTTAGAAACTAGATTGTTTTGGTTAAGTCAGTTGAGAATGAGTTTAGTTGCACTGTCAGTCAATACTCTCACAGAGTGAGCAGGGAGACAACCATGGTGACAAGCCCCTTCCTCAAAATCTCCACAGAGGGATATCTGTTTACTCTATCACATTTTCTAACTCCTTCCATTCCTTATTTAATGAGTTGCAGTGAGTTTTATCAGAATGGTATAATTGCCCCATTGTGTCCTATGGTAAGACTACATTTTCTTAGTCTACCATTTTCCTGGTTTTCTCATGACCATTTTCTTCCAGTTTCCTCAACTGCTATGAAGAATTTTGCAGATTAAAATTATACCTTCCCCTCCCTCCGCCCCCAGGATCATACAATGAGGCAAAGTGGCATTTTGCATGATGCAAAATTTTTCATTTGCCATGACCATGGGGGCAAGTGATGTGCTAAATAATATGTGTTTTATCACTCGGGTCTGTGCCAGTGGTAATAATCACTGAAGTGTAATCAGTCTAGTACAAATGCTGAGACAAACACCAGAAAAATAGTTGAACTTGATTTCCATCACTTATTTGCTATCCCCAAGAGTGAGAACTCGAGTGTATAATAGAGATAAGAAAAGTAATAGCACAAAGTTGATTTCACTATGATTCTGAGGTTCATTTAAAAATATAAATTTATTACTTCTGAAAGAACTGACCTTCAAATCCCACCAAAGCTCTTCAGCAGTATGCTGTGTAGTATATACAGGTTACAAAGAAGTTGTGTTTTCAGGAATGCATGAACTGTCATTATTGTTCCTAAGCATCATGTCATGTCTCATCCAATGCTGTTGTTTCTACAGGAGTGCTAAAACTTTTTTTTTGATGTTTCCCACAACCCAGCTTTAAACTGCACTTGTTTGGATTTGATTTCTTTAGTTCAAAATGCTGCATTTTTACTCCAAAGGTGTGTACTGTGGAACTTACAGTTACATCCATATACAATTATTATGCAATACTAGCATATACTAGCACCTAGTTTTACATAAATAAGGAATCTTTGTGCATAAAATATCTTCAGCTCTGTTTGTTGCTTTGAAACCTGTTGCTTATCAGCTCTAACTCACAATAAATTTAGAGAAGTAGTCCATGTTAAAATAATGAAAGAAGAAACAGTCTTAAGCATTGACTTAAAATACAATTGCCTGATACTGATTGTTGACAACTGATCTTAGAAGAATTTTAAATTTTGAACAGAACATATATGCTCACAATAAGTAACACATTTTCTCACTGAAGATTTATGTCAAGGAAACACTCAGCACCTACACACCAGGAATCACATTTGAAGGCCAGTCAAAGACAGAATTTGGATTTAATACTGCTGAAATACAGAAAGCAAACCAAGGAGTTAAGATTCCACTACTCATATGCTGCATCCTGGACTATGGAATTGCTGCCTTTCATCAGATACAGAAAGGAAACTGGGAGGCACAGAGAATAAAATTTCAGATGCTTTATGTAATAATTAACATAAGAGTTACCCCATCTACCAGGCCATGGTTATACTGATCACCTACAACTTACTGTGGTATTTATAAGTATTCAAAAAGCATTAAAAATGGAGCAGATTATATTTCATTACCTGAGGCCAAAATTTTGGAGATCTTGAAGTGCCCTAAATACACTGGCTGGGACTCACTGCACTTAACAAGCATTGAAGTGTGATACAGTTACTTGAAGTTTTAGACCTCCTGTCTTTCTCTAGTCAAGAGACTATTTTCTAAGGAAGCTGATTTGCCTGCCTATGTTAAGATACCTGGTCCGAGATGGGTAAATTAATGACTCTAACTACTCTTACTACTGTGTCTCTTCAAAACCAGATGTGAAGTACTAGGTTCGTATCCAAGAACTGAAACAATTTCCCCACTTTCTGATACTCAGTAGCTCAAACACTACAATAACAGAAATCAATGTCTCTGATAATGTTCCAGTGCTCAACCACAGATATATTGACTTCTGTACATACACACAAAATATGCTAAAAACTTTAATATGATCATCCCAAAATCAGATAGTTTTGCTATCATTTGGTTTTATCATATATGATAAAATGGAAGTACAATTTTAAGAACCAAATGCCCAGCTAAGATGCTTGACTTTGTCACTGGGGCTCTTTTTGCATTTGCTGCTGAAATACCAAACAAATGCCTCTCTCCAGAATCTTGTCTACAATCCAAGCTCTGCACCTTCCCAATTGAATGCCTTGATCTCTAAACTGTGCACAGCCTCTTGCCTCTTTCCTTAATACCTTGCTCCATTTTTCCTGCATGTGTGCACCTACTGGATGGCAGGCAACATTGCTCAGCATATACCTCCTGTTGTGGCTTCTGCATTTTCCTGGGAATCAGGAGATGGAGGTTTATTCTACTTGGAGATTAACAGAGCCTCTAAATTTATAGGTGAGTGTAGTAATTATCAGACCTCACAAACCCTTCTCTAGGTGAGAAAACTCACTTTCTCCTGAGAAGGTTCACTTCCTGGGTGAATCTTCTCAGGAGACTGAAAGTAAAAAGGTGCTTGTGCCAATAAAATACTTTTTTTTAAACTAGTTTATTAACTATTTTTCAGTTTAAATAAAAAAAAAAAAGAAAAAAGACATTGTGTTATCTGTGTGGGCAATGCAAAATTTCAATCGTGTCTTCGTTTTTTACCATATTCCTCACTTGTTTTACTTCTGTTTTGCTTTACTTATACTATTTTCTCATTTTCTTATGTAATGCTCTTTAACAAAAATGAAGGTCCCTGACCAATGTGGTCATGGAGGCAAGGAAGAGGTCTCCTCTGCCTTGGTACTCTGCCTCTCATGCAAGCCTTTCCCTACCCTGGCCTTTCGTTGCAGATTGCTTTTGTTCCCTTTTTTTCCCTGCAAAGAAAAGGAGAAAATGTCACAAGCGAGTGGGCATCTAGCTTGCATCTTTTGTCTAATGGCTCTTGGTCTCACAGAAGCCCAGAATTCTTGCACTAAGTTTGCTGCAAAGGATGAATGTGCATAGATCCTTTCTCCAGTGGTGTCTCAGGTATTTACATACTGTTGTTCCTGTCTGTCAAGAACTGAGCAATGCGTCCTCACAAATTTCAAAGGAATCAACATAGCAAGTCCCGAAAATGCCTACTTTGACAAATGACATCATAAAAATGAGAGAGGAAGGTTGAATCTTGAGTTAGGGTGTAACTTAAGGTATTTGCCTTTGTTATAGGCAAGAATTACTTCAATATGCACTATTTTAGCTATAAACACAGCTATAAATGAAGCCATATCTACATAATCATATGCACAGATATCACAGTTTATCCAGCAGAATGGCAGACACAACATAGGATATGTAAACAGATCTGCCTAACACTTACAAAACAACTTTAATAGCAAGTGTCATTCTTTTCTGTAAAGTAGCTGTTTTTAACACACATGATCTAACTCTTGTTTGCTCTTTAAAGTTTTATTGTCTTGGCATTTTATACAGGAAGAGAGCATTAGCATACTCAGGAGAACTGCTAAAAGTAAAAGGCCTCAAGCTACCCACTGCATGGTTGATAGCATAAAGCATGGGATATAAAAACTTTTGTCTGATTGCTCACTTTACTTGTTTTAGAGTAGTGTTACTCTCAAGAGCATATATTCATGTTCTTTCTACTTCAAGTTTTATTACTTCTTTTGTATTATTTAATACATCTAAAGACACTTCCAAAAGACAAATTTTTCCATTTTGAAAAAGTAATGGTTTGGAACCTGATAAAATACATGAATTTTCACAGTGTATTATTTTCAAAGGCAAGTAGAATAAATGTGCAATAAAACAATTAAATGCATGACAATAAACATTTCTATATGATCACAGATATATTAACATGCCAAACAAAAGAAGAAAAAAATCAGTAAAATATTTTCTTAAAAAAAGCTCAGATCAAAATGGATTCTTAACACATTAGAGCATAAGTAAAAAAGGGAGTCTGGTCTCAATTACTCTTACTGTTAAATATTCCACTCTAGCAATTAAAATGAACATTTAAGATGTGAAAGAAAAAATGGAATTAAAAAAGGCAAATGAGATCAGCTTTTTAAAACATAAAAAAAAGAGACACCATAATTTTAGATACACTTAAAAATCATCTTACAGTACATTTAAAATGAAGTCTACTTACATATCACACTGCTAATTATTATATAAATAACCTGGGAAACAATACCTCCAAGATACATGTTTTACTATTTAGTAAACAAGAAACTGCCATGTTTGACACCACTGATTAAGGCCAGGCATTTCTAAAGCTTCAGACACATTTCTGAAATCCACAATACATCAATTTTTAATACTTCCACTCTCTCAGCTCCATTAAAAAGATGGTAGGGGAAAGAATTTAGAGTAATTAATGATATAGTTAGCTGCTAAATATTAATAGGAATCGTAGTCTTGCATAAAATATAACATATAAACCTTGCCAATACAGACGCACCAGTAATTAAACTTGAATACGTAATTACACTGATTTATATGACAGGCAAAAAGTTACACTTTACTGGCTTCTATGTAAACTGTGCGCAACAGTTAAACTTTGCATTTTATGGTTTATATAAACGGGCAATATCTCTACTACAGTTCATAAATGGTTCGGCGAGTCATAGTTAAAATTATAACTAATTCCAGTGTGAACATTCGGACTATACCTTACAAACCAGGCTCTGAAAATGACCACAGAGATCAGCCTCCCATTACATTCAGAGCTTGGAAGGAAAATGGTGAGGCTTTAAAAAAAAAAAAGCAAAAAAAAAAGCTTATAGCAATAACTACAAAGTAAATGAAGACTCATCTATTTAAATGTTTTAATATAAATGTTTAGTTTCAAATATATAGCTCCAGATGTTTCACTTACCACCTTTCAAAGCTCTTTTGAGTAATATTGTGTCTTAGACTAAGGCATTTTTTCTTGAAAGAAAGCTGACTGCACTTACATGTGAGGCTGAGGAGAGCAGCCTGGACTGCTATTTCCATTACTGTCAATGTGATCCAGTGAACCATTGAGATCTTCATGGACTGCCTGCAGTAAGCCACTGGATGCGTTATTTATCAGTCCTGGGTTACTTAGCAATGGTAAACTGCTCTCTGCCAGTGCAGCCTACCAAAATGAAAAGTAAAACCAAAATTACTAGTCCATACATATACATAGCACTCTTACATGTATGAACATTTAGGAATAAACACACAGAGAACAGCTCATTTTGAGTAGTTGTTGAAGTGGTCAGAAGGATTTTGTGCATTTCCAGTTATTTTCACATTCTGTATATAACAGCATTTCTACTTCTGGTTTACCCTTTCTCTTGCTTAAGTTTCATTATTTTCCATTATTAATTATGTTCTGATATTCATGGCACTTTCTAGTTTTACATCATTTTTTGACTTTGAATTACACTTAACCCCTTTGCCCTTCCACACAATGTATGGCTCCTTTATAATGCAGGCAGCTGCTATACTTTAAAAAATGACCAGAACTTAAATCAAAATAAAAAAGTCCTGACATTTGCCTCTTCTGCATAAAAATTATATATTATAATTAAACTTTAAAGTTTTTGCCATGAGCACCATGTTCCCCAACACTATGATGTGAAATCATTTATGACAGCTTGGATAAATATTAATGCATATCCACATGCATTTGCAAAAGCTTCTATCAATCTAACATTTGCAGCAAAACTGAATGTTCCAGATTTTGCCACAGGGTGTCCTTCTTGCCTCTTCACATCAAAAGTAGCACGAATAAGAACTACTACTTGCAGTGCTAGGTAATACAACTTACTTGGATGATAAACCCAGTTATTTAGAATGACCATCAGCTCCACATAAACATACCAGGTAATTCTATACCAATGTGTAAGTAGAAATAAAATACATCATACATAAGAAGATAATCAGTGTGTACAAAAACAAATTAATTAGCATTTTTTACCTGCAAGCTTGCATTAAGAGCTGCTCCATAGCCTAAGCTGGTGGGTATGTTTTTCACTAACGTTGGACTTCTGAAAATAAACGATTTTTCAGTTTAAAAACAAGCAGACATCCTGTCTGGTTTATTGGGTTAATGGATTGGTTTGTCAGCTCAGAAGACCGGAGTTTAGGAAAGAAAAATGAAATGAAGTTGGGAGGGAAGGAGCTCAACCTGTTAGAACATTGATTTACTTGCATCAGAAAAGCAAAACTCTTGTTATAATAAGGCCCACATGGAAATTTGCTACAAGAGCATAAAGGTTCTTATCTCACTGAAAGAATTTAACAGAATAGCTTTAGAATTTGTATAACATCTGTCTCTGCCACATTTGCTACATCTCTCTTGCTGTATTTGGTTTCAGTTTTCTGAACTAACACGGGTACACTGTTACTATGTTACATATAATTACACAAAGGTGTTGACTAAAAATGATCTTACTCTTCCCTCACAAGAAAAAACGAGGCTGCAAAAATGTATAAATAACTGTATGTGAACCATACAGTGGATCAATTAGTTTCCAGCAAATCACACATATTGTATGTGCTGTCATATAGCATATAGATTAAATGCTATATGCTAGATAACCATATAATTATATTTTCAATAAAATTAGTGCAGAGTATGACTCCAGAGGTCTTGTGGGTCACTGTCTACAAACAGATGCATTACAGAAATAGAATACCTTCCTGCAAAGAAAAACCTCTAGCTCTTGTCTCTGCACCTTTGGTTTTATCTGAATGGCTTTATCAAAACTAATTATATACTCTCATGGAATAAAAAGCATCCACAGAACCAGTCATACTGACATGGGATTAATTTGAAAGTAGGGCAGTAAGCATGCCAAAGGTCCTCCTGTGAAGGCTTCTCATGAATACTACCCTCATCAAGAAGATATTTTTGAGGTCAGTACTGTAGTGTATGATACCTATATTCCAAACTGACCTTGAACAACTCCCACTTCTGTCAAAGATTTACAGTAAAAACAAGTGCATATGAAACTCTTAACACATGGGCAACATATGTACACAGGGCTATTTTTAATATATAGTAGGAGAACTTATGGTACATGGAATTAAAATGACAAACATATGGTGAAATACATAGGAAAAAACAAAACCATTATCGCTTTCCTTGCAGCAAGCTACGTGGGGAAGTCAGGCAGGCAAAGAGTGTACAGAAAACAGCATTTACACAAAAAATGAAACAACTGTTAGCTCACTGAAGAGAATGCACCAGCATAGCTATTAGCTTGCTATGTATTCTCCACATAAGTGCTCGCTTTGTCTGTCAGGTTGTAGTACACAGAGGACTCACTCAGGTTACAGAATTACAGAACAACTCAGTTGAACAAAACCAAACACCAACGTACCCTGTTATCTTTTGTGACCTTCTCTTCTGATACTCTACTTCATCCACTGTCCATACTGCTCCTTTAACATTTTCGACTCGAACAAAACACTTGTGCAGGC